CTTTAAAAAACAAGGCATCGATTCAACTCCTGATGACAAGCCACCATCCAGCAAGGAAGCAATGCAAATGGCAACAACAATCCTTCAATATGCACATGAATCACCAGATATCGGTGATCAACGGGACAGTTACTTGCAACTAGCAAGAAAACTGTATGACACGCAGGCAAACATTGTCATAAACTAAAGAATGCATCCAACAAAACAATCCAAAATAGACACATTTTTTTCCCACGACAGAAAAAAAATAAACATTAAAATACTGTACGTATTTTACTGTTGTGATTTTTTTTGGATACACCTGTATTGCAGTTTTTGTTATATAAAGTTTTTGGAGAGTATATTTTTGTATTTTATTGATTGTGTTGTTACACGTGCATTTTTGTCAACATACTTGCAGGTTCATAAAGGACATGTACCATGCTCATTTCCCAAATGAAGAATTTCTGTTAACAGGACAAATTGGACAGCGCAAACACGAGTCCGCACTAGAGAATATTTACTGTATTTCAGATTTTTTTTCTGCCCAATTGACTCATTGGTCCATACGAGAAAAAATATGCTCAATAAGAATTAACGTTTGCTTGTCGGACATTTAAGTGAGTGCTGCTTTTCTTTTTTGGCATATCGTGCCTGTAACCTCCCAAATAGCAGCTAAAGCTCACAATTGGCCTTGGTGGATTAAAACAAGGAATACATGGTAGCCTTGAGGGAGTTTGGAAATGTCCCATCACTTGAAACACAGGGATGACATACCTTCAGCCTCACGCCGCCCATTCCATGGGTCTTTGTACTGGTCCCTGTACGGGTCATCCTTCCTTCTGGCAAAGTAGTCATCTGCGGGATTTCCACCACGGTAGTAACGGTCATATTCCTCTCTGCTGTATCAAAACATTTAAGAGGGATTCAGCACAAAAGTCTTTCATGTGGTTGGTTCCAGCTGCAATGCAGACTTTACTTGTAGCCAGGATCTCTCGGCCCGCCTCTCAGGTCCTTGTCTCGGTTATCCGAACCGCGGTAGCGGTACTCATGGTCGCGAGGATGGCTTCCTGTTCTTTGCTCTCGGCCGGAATCTCTACCAGGGTCCCTCCCGTCACGGGAATCACGATCTCGGGGTTCACGTGCATCGCGATCTCGGTTATCACGGGGGAACACTGGAGAGCGGGACCGAGGTCGGGGATCCTTGCCGTCCCCGTAACCGCCATATGGTCTGAGTAAGAAGGCAAAAGTAGTGAGATGGTATATTCTGTCGCTTCTTTTACAATATATCATGGATGCCTCAAATACAATCTTTAATATGACAACGAATAGTTGAAATGTACATCTGGGCCAAATAAATGCAGTCCAGGAGACTCCAGTGTTTCTTTCAAGAAGTACAAGTCCTCGTTCCAAATGGTTTTAAATCCAGCGCTAAAAACAAAAATCCACCTTTTAATTGTAGTTCATTCGGCATATTTCAGTGTCATTTCCCCAAAAGTCACACCATGCTGTAAATAAGCAGTCACACATTCAGAAAGGCAAATAAAATAAATCATTCCTCAATCGTAATGTGAGGAATAAATGAAAATATGCAAAATTGCCCTAGAACGTTATACTTCCTGAAATAATTCCTACAAGGTCCCAATGCGCGGAAACGGTTGTCAAAATTGAGGCTGGGGTAAAATATGAAAAGTCTGCTCATGTGACAAATGACCGATACGCATCAAAGTGGATGAGGCGGTGTGAGAACTTCCATTCCATTGGTTGTTACAAAAGTTAAAACCCACTCTCCAGACGACAAGCTTTCCCTCAGATGATATCCCAGTAAAAAGAGATCCTGCGGCATTGGCTTTGTTCGGCATGCGGAAAGAGACCAGAGGTGAAGCAGAATAACAAAGCCTCCTCAGTTTCCGGCTGAGAAGAAAAACGCTGTCCTTGAGCAACCTCCCCACTCACCTGACCTGGATCCATGTGATTTTCTCCCCTTCGCCAAACTTCAAGGGGGTCATTGAGGGTACGATTTGAAGACGAGTACGACAGATCCGCGCAAGATCCCGGAAGTATCCTTCCAGGAGTGCACGAAAATGTACCTGTTGTGATACCAGTCTGGGAAATTCTGACAGATGTGTCATAAGCAAGCTGTAGAAGCGCTTTAGATCAGGGGTCCCCAACCACTGGGCCATTTGGAGCCGGGCCGCACAGAAAGAATAAATAACTGACATTCCTTCCGTTTTATTCATTTCAGAATCTGAAAGATATTTTATTTTGAAAAATTACCGGATTCTGTTATATCAGCCTACAGTATGTCACACTTGACGCAGGTGAATGCTCGCTCCTCTGTCACGTGATAGGAAATGAAACCCAGGAGCTAGCAAATAAATTAAAAAAAAAAAAGTCTTAAAAGTTTTTAGGGAAGGGGAAAAGGCCCAGCTAGGAGACAGAAGAGGGCCCTATGATTTTCAAGAAAGAGAAGGCCACAATTAATAGACAGTATCAGGAGTCCTATTTCAAATACGGCTTCATCCCAATGGGAGATTCACACGCACCAAACCTACTCTGCATAATAAGCGTCGATGGTGAGTCGTATTTTTCATGCACTTTTTATTTGCGGCGTATTTTGAAGGCACGTTTAAACGTGACCATAGCGACCAGAAAATGTTGCGGCCACGTTTCTCGTGTCATGATTCTTTTTTATTATTATGTTTCGAAAATACCACACTTTTCATGCAGGTCATATCATATTATATTGTTGGATCTATGCGGCCTGAAAAGGCCAGTCCCTCAAAATATTGTCTGACATCAAAGCGGTCCGTGGGGCAAAAAAGGTTGGGGACCTCTGCTTGAGATGATTTTGTCAAAGCTCACTTTGAGACAAAATACTGTCCCAGGATCAAAACTGAATTTCTTGGCACTGCATCTTTAATTTTATTTCTGAATAAGTGTTGGGATCTTCCAAAATGTGTTCAATATTTGCTTCTTAAAAAGCAGATTCAAAAGTTGTCACCAAGTCTGAGCCATGGATGCTCGTGCTAGTAAGGAAAACAGAAAATAAACGCAGGGTTAAGCAGAATAACACTAATACTTGATACCATGTTTGTAGCACGTACAGGGGATTCTCTTACAACAGAGTTCTGTTCACAGGGCCGCCACATAACCCAAATTCATTCACAAGTCCGTATGTGCGAAACAAACAAAACACGATGCAAAGTGATGAACACAGCGGTGAGTGTGCGCGCCTTCTCGTGCCGTGTCAACGCGTATTCGTACGGCACGCGCCGTTCGGAACCGCAAAATGTCGAACGTCGGGACTGTCGGAACCGAGAACCCGCTGCAGTTGGGATGCAAATTGCTGGATGCAGCAGATGTCGCGAAATTTCTTTCATGCCGGCATATTGTATGGCAGGTCACATGATGGATAATAAGTTTATTTTAACAGCACAGCCTGTCAAGAGACAAGTTCATTACTGAAGGTAGTAGAAATGTTATTCACAGGAAATGATCAACTTGTCACACTCAGAGACTGAAGTCGAAACCAATTTTAGTGGTCAGCTGAAAACAATTATCTGAGAATTTTTCTTGACTCACTGGAGGACTTCGGACCAACAGTGGCCCTGAACCTGAAATTTGGGGTGCACAAGTAGAAAATTTGGGGGCACAAACTGAAAGTTGGCTGACAAGGTAAATATTCACTCCACAAATTTTCTCTCTACAGTATTACTAATTAATGGGCTGTGGGGGGGGGGGGGAGTAGAAGTTTGTCAGCAACAAATAAATATTCCAAGAATGGTAATTACAATATATTGACAACATTTTAGTTATACTGTGTCAAATTTTAGGAGTAAAATGTAAATGCCACCATTTCAGGGCAGCTTGGAGGATTGCACAGGGATGTCTTTTTTTTTTCTCCTTTCAGGAGCTTTCCTTTACTATTTGAGCAAAATGACCCTGAGTTACTTTGGGGAAGGGTTCTTAGAATTCTCAAAATACTTTGGAAAGGTGTCTTGATGCAACCTTTAACACACATTTATCCACTGGATACACCTGACCAACTTTTATGAAAGATTGCAGGCCACCGCTGAAGTTTACTGCTGTTTTATGCTAGCGGCTTTTTTAATACCCGTCGTTACATGATGATGATGGTTAGGAAATGTGGAGTCAGATTTATTTCGGACAGTGCTTTCTTTCATATGTTTGAAAGGAAGTACCTTTTCGCCTTGCTTAACCTGTTGACATTTTCCACAACGATTGAAGAAAATCTGTACAAAAGGTTAGGACGCAAGCGCTCAGTTGATACAGGAAGAGGCCAGAAAGTATAGAAGTAAGGGTCAATCCTCATCGTTTTTATGTCTCATAAGAATGGGAAAAATATTCACACCTGTTTTGACAAAAAATGCAGTACTGAGCAGAAAGCTGCCTGGAGGGGTTTTACCGAAGCATCAATGTACCAGTATCTGACCTTCTCGTAGCTGCTGACATCAAGAAGTTACCCACTCCATTTTGCCTCACTTTAATTCTGAACTATGTATTAATCAACAGATCTATGATAGATAACATCCCTCATTAAAAACCGCAAATGGGGCAGTCAGAACAAAATGAGAGGCCAAAAAGATGTGAATATGAAGACAAATCTTGACATTCCCTGATAAGGTTTATTTTTACTTGCTGAAATTCCTGTTTGTGAAAAAATGGAAATAACTTCCAAAATACTGGCTTGCACACCTCTATTAAAGCTTACAGATGTCCATCAGCCATAACCATTGAAGGTTTAAAATCTCGTTTAAGTTGTTGGTTTTTGACCGGCTGCTTTGGAGGCGATGGTAGGTCTTCCCACCGAATTTGTGTTACTTTACCTGCGTGGAGGGCTCTGCTGGGAATGAGGTTTAGCGGACCGTCGCTCCACTGCCATATTTACATCTGAAAATAAATCAATCCAAACGTTGAACAAAAAAAACAATGGCAAGTCAATCAGATAATGCGCAGAACGGACGGAAATTGGCCACGTCAAAGAAATTCCCACGGTCCAAAATGAAAATGAGCTCCATTACTCCAAACTTGGGCTTCCTTACTGGACGAGAGGTCAAAAATGCAGCGCAAGGAGTTGAAATGACGAGGAGAAAATTCTTTTCCGTCGACAAGTTGGTGGCGTGGCAGATTTCGACGACGCATTAAAGCCATTCCGAAGTAAATGCAAAGACAATTGTGGGAAATTAAACTAATTGTACAAATATGTTTATTTAGTGTGTATGCTAATCATTCAAAATGTCTTCAACAAGTTTCCATGCAGAGAAGGCAAAAACATAGGAAGGAATGATGTCATAATCTATTTTACATCCTAGTGCTGTATTTGACTTCATAAAGCCAACTTTGATCACCCAAAACAGAAGATAATTTGTATCTTGTCCAGTTATTTCATGTAGTAGCATCTCTTTTTTTTTCATTCTGCTTGTCACACAGCTTATGCATAAGAAGTATCGTCATACTTGGTGCAGTCATGGCTTACCTATTTTATAACCTTTATAAATTCGACCCTTTTGGGCCAGCTTTGCAGCTTCAGCTTCCTCTACACGCTCAAATTGTACAAATCCATATCCACGTAACAGGGAAACGCCTGAAAAAGGGACATTTTAAGTGGTACAAAGAAACACTGGAGTGGATACCTACCCACTTAGTCAAGCACTGATGCAATAAAGTTACAGTGTTACATGCTTAGAAGTCAAAGGTAAATAAAAGCTGCAAATTAGATAAGACAATTATCTAGAATTAATTCTTGTGAATTTTGTTGCTCATGATGAGGTATTTACTGACCAAGTATCTTTCCATACGGACTGAAAAGATCTTCCAAATCCTTCTTATCCATGTCGGATGTCGGCAAATTCCCAACAAAAATCCTTCGCTCCATTTCCCGGGGATCGGTACTGCTACAGGTGCGTGAGAACTGCACCGGCGATGGACTCCGGCTTCTTCGGCGAGACATGACTTGATCCCAAGGTTTTGCGGATTCGTTCCTCGTATGTTCGGAAATGCTCGGAAATGTTTAGTATTGAGCGGATGGATACAAGCATCCAAGATCCTGAAACATGTCAATGGGGTGACAGAAGAGATTAAAATTTCTCTGTAGGATGAAAAATTGTAAACGGAGCAAAGAGGTTGCGTATTGGAAATGGGGAAATTCAAACGACGCAGGAAACTTGTCGGCGATTCGGAAATTCTCGAACAACTAGCGGCCGGGCACATTCCGTTAAAAAACACGATTTGTATATTCGTATCCATGGTTTGAATTTGATGCAACAAACGATTGGGACAATGAAACGGCTGGGATTGTTTTCGTTGGTTTTATTGGTGGCCGCACAAGTTCACCAACAAGGTTCCCCGCAGAAATTTGTACGGGGGGCATTTCGCACTCGTGGCAAAACGGAGATCCGGATCCATGTCGTCCCAATTCAAAATGTGTGAGGCCTCAGTCTAATATAAAACAGTTGAGTAGAGAGCGTCCTTCGGTTTATGACTGAGATATATGGCAGCTACGTAAGTCAGAACACGCCAAAGTCCATCACTACCCCATGCTAACGTAGTAAAGCCACAATAAATATTTGTATGAAAGACACTTCGAGGGTATGAAAATAAACCAGTCAAATGGGAAAAATAAACAGGAACAGCAGGAGAGCATGCCTTCTTGTATTTAAGCATTCTTTAGCCACTGCGCAAACTAGTTCATTCAGCGCCATTCTTAACCTCAAGACCGAGAACCCCCTACACAATGAGAGAATGTTGGTCTTGGCAAAGACACATCCCAATACGGGAATAAAACAAATAAAATAAAGGCACACTATGTTCAGTTTGATGAGCCCATGTGAAAATGTATCAATTCTTACTGTCCAAAACGACATTAAGTATTTGAATGTTGTAAAAATCAAGATCTGAGACGGCATAATCGACACATTAATGGATCCTTCCTTGTTCTCCTTTGGCAAGCCCTCCTCACCAATGGTAAATCAAATGCAAATGTCTTTGAGGAATCATTATTTTGGAGAAATAAAATCGTATTGAAAAATACCGAAACCAAAAGGCTCCTTAAGTGTCTTGCCATCAGGCAAACGTCTGCATTTGAAAGATGTTGATGGCCCGACGCAAATTGTCTCATCCAAAGAAAATTGAAGGCTTCACATATAAAAATTGGCAGGCAAAATATTATTGTAGGAGGTAAAACTGTTCAGCAAACAGCTTCATAAATACCTTGGGGGAATCTGGGAGTTGAGGATGGTGGTTCCAATCAATTTGACCAATGTCTGAAAGAGATTACAAAAAATTGTATTAGAGGACATGTTTCAGGAAACCTAGTGGCCAACGCGCATGTCGCGGCACCAGGAAATTTTGAGCGTGTTTTGAACGCAGCTTAGTCATCGAGTGCTCATCGTCCAAGTGCCAAGATAACAAACCGGTGGGCATGGCATCGTCTGCCTTTGGGGTTGAACCTCAGGACGCACAGAGAAGATGGTCCAAGACAAATAAATAAATACGTTTGTCCAGGTGTCAAGACCACTGGGAATTGTAGAGTACAACACCAACATGGGTGGTGTGGACTTGGTTGACCAAATGTTGAGTTTCTACAGGATGGCCTCTCACACTTGGAAATGGGCACTGCGTGCAATTTTCCACTTTTTTGACCTGGCAATCACCAACTCATGGCCTCAGTATAAAAGTGACTGCAAGTTTCTCTGGAAGAAACTAATGAAGTTTCTTCACCTCAAACTGCTCCTTGGTGAAGAATTAATGACTAAAGCCCAAGCAGGAACCACAAGGGACAGCTACACTACGGGTGCCATCCATATTCCAGAGATGGTGGATTAAACATGCGTCAAGGTGTCGGAGATCCGGCTGCCAATGGTAAAACATATGTAATGTGCACAAAGCGCAAGGATTTTCTTTGTGTTTCCAAGAAAGGGGGTTGCTTTTTCAAGTGCAGTAAAGATTCCCATCCCCGGAATTCTATGAAAAGGAATTTCCTTCACCCGGAATAAAAACCTATGCATTAACATTTTGACTACGATATTACATGTTATCGGAACTTACGTAAGCGGAAATTCCACTAACCGTAACCCGGATGGAGATGGAAGGCCGCGGCAATGCCCACCCGATGCGACGGAAAGACACGACGACGACACGTTTTCACTTCGCCGTTTTCATTCATCAGATCCGAACCGACGGGTAAGTGAGTTTTTATTGGCGTGCGTTTTATTGTAATTGTGAATGATTTTAACTTTATTCACTTACGTCCCCGTAGATCGCGGCACTGGCTTAAAAAAGCAGTGCCCACTCGACAAGGCATTGATTCAACTCCTGATGACAAGCCACCATCCAGCAAGGAAGCAATGCAAATGGCAACAAAAATTCTTCAGTATGCACAAGAATCACCAGACATCAGTGATCAACGGGACAGTTACTTGCAACTAGCAAGAAAACTGTATGACACGCAGGCAAACATTGTCATAAACCAAAGAATGCATGCAACAAAACAATCCAAAATAGACACATTTTTTCCCAAGACAGAAAAAAATAAACAGTGAAATACTGTACGTATTGTACTGTTGTGATTTTTTTGGATACACTTGTATTGCAGTTTTTGTTATATAAACAGATTTTGGACAGTATATTTTTGCATTTTATTGATTGTGTTGTTACACGTGCATTTTGTCAACATACTTGCAGGTTCATAAAGGACATGTACCATGCTCATTTCCCAAATGAGGAATTTCTGTTATCAGGACAGATTGGACAGCGCAAACACGAGTCTGTACTAGAGAATGTCTACTGTACTATACCAAGCAAGCACAAAAGAAGCGGCAGTTGAAAAAAAATAAAAAAAAGATGATGGGCAATTGTGTTTATGTTGAACTCTCTCTCATGTTGACTTTTTTTCTGTTGGACTAACTGGTTGCCAACAAAGTTCCGACTCACCTGTATCGGGTTTCAATGGCCACTGTAGTTGACACATCGTAGCTAAATAAATAAATAAATAAAAAGGACACACCCCCCCCTAAAATTTTCTTTTTCAGTATTTCAATTACATTAAGATTGGGGAATTTGAAAATAAAAGTGATTGGACAATATTTTTCCCCTGGTAGTCAGGATGATAAAATAGGTATATCTATAAAATCTGTCATTGCCTTTTTTTCCCCCCTCAAAATGTATGTATTTAAAGTACTAATTGGTATTTGGTATCGGGGCGACTTATAAGTTGAGTATTCATACTGGTATCGGTTTGAAAAAAGTTATCTAACTTCCTTAGAAACAATCAAAGATGTGGTGTGGCCTCTTCTGCAAATAAACATTTACTGCACTGCTTGAGCCAGGTGAATAGATGTAAACACCACTCCAAATTCCACTGCATTACAATGTACACAAAAACATGACACATTCATTAAATTTAGTTTGGCTTTGCAATATTTTCCTCGGAGTATTTGTGTTTTATGGTACTTTATCTTTAACCCATTTAAAGATTTTCCTTATTTTGATTAGGTTAAAAAAAATCATTCTACACTACTCACAAAAAGTTTGGGATATTTGTCTTTTCAGGTGAAATTTCATGCTGTTCACATTTTGACATAATGAGACCAAAACGGCACTAAACAATGGATCAACAGTACTGTGGCAGTGTGATCCCTGAAACAGGACATTCTCAGACAGAATTGGCCACTGAGCTTAGTGAGAGTGTCATCAGCAGGTTGCAACAGAGATACAGAGAGACTGGAAGAGTCACAGAAAGATCGAGATGTGGACATCCTTTGGCCATATCCCATTTGATGACCGCAACATTGTGAATAATGCCCCGAGACACTGGTTGATGAATGCCACTCAACTTCAGGCACGTTAAAGGGAGGTGAGAGGCACCCAAGTGTCACGTCAGACCAATGGAAACCTTTTACATCAGTGTGGTCTGTGAGCCAGACAACCCAAAAGGGTACCTGGCCACATCACTGGGCACAGGCGTCATGGTCTTGCATGTGCCAGGGAGCATTTTACACTGGATGAGGGACCAGTGGGCCTCAGTGCTGTTCTCTAATGAAAGTCCATTCACGTTGAAATGATGGCCGCCAACGATGCTGGAGACACCAAGGAGAGCGCTACGCATCAGCCAATGTTGTCACCAGACGAGGTTTTGGTGGTGGTGGTGATGTTACACTGTGGACAGGTGTGTCCTGTCGGGACAAAAACTGCCCTACACTTTGTGAATGGTACAGTGACAAGCTCAAATTACCTGGATAACATTATTAATCCAGTGATTGTGCCCTACATGAACAACACAGGCCTAATTTCATCTTCATGGACAACAATGCTCAAGATCATTGAGGTTGCATCATGAGAGAACAGCTGTTGGAGACTGGTATACCTCAAATGGAATGGCCTGCACTTTCTCCAAACTTGAATCCTATTGAAAAAACCTGTGGGATCAGCTGGATCGCCATGCCGAGGCTCGAAACTCAGAACCTCTAAGACCTGAGGGCTGGCCTTCAAGAAGAGTGGGATGCCATGCCTCAGCCGACAATAAGTCGACTTGTAAACAACATGAGTGCATCCCTCTAATAAATGTCCAACTACTTTCATGATATCGCTGTAACGTGAACTTTTTATATAGTCCATTAATTTCATCTGAAAGACAAAAATCCCGAACTGTTTGGGAGTAGTTACATCAATGTCGACTGATAATTACATATATCGTGACATACGTTTCAGCCATATCACCCAGCCTTAGGGGCCACACATAATGCATACTAGCCAAGTTTTTTTTTTTTTTTTTTTTTGCATTTCGTAAAGTGCTATGAAATACACTTTGAACACATACGCATGTGTTGTTACGAATGTGTTATGCCTATGTTTTCAAAGACAATTATAAATAGCAAGTGCTAAATTATTAACTCGTATAAAAGTAGGTTGATTGACTTTACGACAAAAAGAAACCAGTTAGGGACAACTTTATGTTTGGCCATCCTTGATACCGCTCATAACCGCAAAGCGGCGTACTTGCAACGACAACCAGAGTTTACACGATACAACGACGCACTGTGGCGTATGAATCAGCGTTCAAATTACGTTTTCGTCAGTATTTCCCTCACACAATTGCACTAACCGACAAAAGCACCCATTTGTAAGATAATTGCCGTCTCTAGTCATCAAATGTTGGTTCAAATCAAGCGGGAAATGACTGTATTTGCGCCCCTACATGCCTGTTTCGCCGCGACCGTGAAAGAGACAATATGGAGTCCGCCGCCAAAGAACGCGAAAGCTCCAGTTAACGGCTAAGTTTGGAGCGGTGGGGGCAATATGAACCCCAAAAGAACAAACCAAAATCGATTTCCATGATTAACGAGCATGTTCAGTCGCATGCTTAATCGTACCTCACGTCCTCTTTCGTACATATCTCTGGTCGCGGTAGTACGTACATTACCGTGTGTTAGCCATTAGCTGTTAGCTTAGCTCGCATGCAAAAGAATCGGTGTGGGCTTTTCTTTAAAGTATAGAGAAACCACGTTTGTTTTAGGACATCAAAACTGAGTTTGTAGTTACCTTCAAAAGAGGATATGATCTGGTTTTATCCCGTCAAGTCCACCACTCCGTTGTCTTCATACAAAGTCGACACCCCCCCTCGTTCTTCTTCTTTAAGCTTTGTAGGACAGATGAATGCGTATCTGTATTTCCGCTACGCTCCTTTGCTCGGTGCCGCCGCCCGCAGGTTGGAGGTATATGTAACACGTTCGGGTAGCATTTATTTTGGATGCATGGATATTGTGAAGGTACTGAAAGATGGAAATGTGTTAATAAGTTTAAAAGATGGGGTGCAGAAAAAGTTTTGACCTTTGTGAATATTGGGGAAAATGATAAGTGCAAAGAAGGTACTGGGCAAGAGCGGGGTAGTACAATGAGTTATGAAAGAAATTCCGGTGGATGAAGATTTGGAATGGAGGTGAGTGACGCCAAAAGATTAATTTGATCGGTGAATGGATAGTGGCGCAATCGATTGTCAGTTCTGTTGATATTTCAGGGGGAGATGTACCCTGAGAAAATATGGATAGGATGTCTGAGTTTTCCTGATGAGACCTTATGTTCTGCCGCCTCTTAGATGCTCTGGTGTAAAAAAGGGGGGGAGAGGGGGGTCCGCATGCCACAAAAGTTACACAGGCAGTAGGCACACCCCAAATATGACACTTTCCTCCAAAAATTTCCAATCACTACAATATACACATTCATCACTTTATATATATATATTCCGTTTGTATTATATATGATCAGTGGCGGGCCGTGCATTTCAACCTTAGGCCTTCAGTGACGTCACATACATACATGGCAATGGCGAGTGATGAAAAAAGCGGAAGGGGCGTGGCCTGGACGGGGGCGTGGCCTGGACGGGGGCGTGGTTACTTACAAAAGTGGCACTAAACATGCTGAAGATGAAGTGTATTAAATTTACACAGTTTGAAAATTGAACAGAAAAAAATCCCAAGAT